ACACACACACACACACACACACACACACACACACACACACACACACAGTGTGTTGAGCGCAGTCTCCATTGTGTGTCCGATTCCTCCTTTAAATAATTGCAGCCACGCTGCCATTTTGGAGCCTTGCGTGGCCCAACCACTCACACGACTACGTCCGCCATCTTGTTCTGTCTCTCTTTTCCCCTCCTGCCCCTCCGATGTCCACACGCACCCACACTCCTCTAGTCACTTGCTTGCTTGTTACTTTTAGATGTAGTGTGCTTGTAATTGTATCATAGACGTTTGTTGATTCATAATACTATTATGATAAATACACCCTGTTATAGTTTTAAGGAGCAGCTTCTGTGATTATTTTGTGCATGTGTTGTGGTAGCTTTTTTTTGATGGTCAAGGGCTTAGATTCAACCCTTCACTGTTCACTCTGAATGTGGAATAGTACCCCTTTATTATTAATCTATGTTAATAATCCTATTGATATGAATCATCTTATTAATAGCAATCATTCATTTTGTATTCTTGCTAATAACAAACCCGCTTCAGCACAGCTGTACTGATTTGAGCTAATTAACTTATAACAACAAATAGAATAAAACTAGTTGTTTGACAACTAGGAGATATGTTCATGTCACATGAGATCTACTTCAGTTTTAGGACCTGTACACACTGTGGGCTAAGGTGATTAACCTATTAAATATATTTTATTTGAATAATTAAACAGATTTTTTCAAACAATTGTTTTAGTCATAAATGCTTTCACGCAGACACAAATATTACTCGGGGACAAAGCAACGTTTTTTAAAATGAGCTTGATTTTTCTGAGCTCTCGCACAGCAAATAAAGGATCTACTAATCAGCCTGTTCAAGACTGTCCAAGTAATCATAGGAAACACTGAAGGCGCGACAACGGCAACCTGCAAGTTATTATATACAGAACAAGACAGCACTGTCAGTGAGGAAGAAATAAAGATGATGAAGAGTCACTCTTGTGCTCCCCTGATTCATTTCAGAATCAGAGTTGTTATAGACCCAGACTATCTGAACTTACCTCCTTGCCGAGGTCTTCTCTGATGACTTGCTGGATCTCCTCTATACTGCTTTGAGGAGCTCGGCTGTGGAGCACCTTCAGCGTGGAGGTGTACTCCTCGGGCAGCAGGAAGTCCAGAGCACCGAGGTGCTGGCCCACCTTGATGAAAGTGCCCCGGTTGGCACAGCACAAGTCTCGAAGACGCTCCGCGGATCGCCGGTGCACCTGCAGGCCAGAGAGAGGATACAGAGGCTCAAGGACTGCAGGGAAAATCGAAATGGTTCTTTCTCTTGGCATTCTGACAGGAGATGTCCGACATGCAATTTTAACTTTGGCTGTCTATGGTGTCTATAAAACTATTCATGATCTTAGACCATGCTTCACTGAGACAGCCCTCTGAAAAACAACCAGCACTGGTTTGTACAACCAGCTTAAAGGACGCATATCTTGCTCAATTTTCAGCTTCATATACGTATGTATTTGATTTTCTACGAGAACATGTCTGCATGCTGTAATGTTCAAAAAACACTTCATTCTTCTCATACCGTCCGTATGCATATGCCTGTATTTACCCTCTGGCTCAAAAGCTCTGGTTCAGCACCCGTCTCTTGAAGCCCCCCGTCCCCAAAACAACCAGTCTGCTCTTATTGGTCAGCATTTCTAGGGGCTGCCCTGTCTATGACTGTCTACATGGCACCATGCAGCTGGGGATCCACTGTATGTTTAAAAGCCATGGAAAAGGGGCATTTTGCATAATATGTGACCTTTAAAGCAACTTGCTGTTGCACACAGATACAAAGCAGGAGATAGTTGATTGTTCTAATTAAAGAGTGAAAAGATGAGGGAGAAGATCAACGATGGATGTGGGCTTTGAGAGCTTGGGAAGACTCTAGAACCTGGTCTACAAACAGTCCTGTGAATCCTGTGGGGATTTCCTGATTTCATGCAACTTGTGTTACAGGACTGAGGAAGTTGAATCGAAATAACAGTAATCTCAAATAACAGGGTATGGTCCAGGAGACCAGGAGCAGTGAGAGGGCGGTCTGATGGCTCATGAGGCCTGGTTCAGTCTGGTAAGTCAGGAAGGGACCAACACAAACTCTTGGTTGGCAATAAACACTATTGTGCGACATATCTTTGTACGTTGGAACATTAACAGAATAAACTATTCATGTTCTATAAGGCGAATAACTGCTCGAACGAAAGCACAACTACAAAATGAATTATGTCTGTATGTATGAGAGGGACATAATCAAATGACAGACTTTTTTGATTAAGGGCCTTGGGCCTTGGAGTGTGTGTGTGGTGGCCCCGTCCCGTCTGTCCCATTACAACCAGCTGGAAGCGATAACGCTTATAGAGAGCTCATCTCCTGAGACCAGTGCAAATAAAAAGCCGTGAAATTAGCTCCCCTTAACCTCTGTAACCCCATCTACACACACCATGAATACCCCCCAGCACACACACACACACACGCGCGCGCACACGCACACACACACACACACACACACACACACACACACACACACACAATGGTCCCACTGGACCATTTGACAGAGTGTCATCTGGGCAATGATGACAAAGCAATGGCAGAAACAAGTCACCAGAGACCAGCAGATGAGCCTTTCTGCTTGAAGATGCAGCAGGAACCCGTTTTATAAAGACACTCATGTCTGACCGTAAGGAACCGTAGCGGTTTGGTAGAACCATTATCACACAGAAAATTGTGCAGTCATTTATACAAATTAGATTTCCAATAAATAGCTCTTAAAACAAAACTATCCTATACAAAGTCAATCCATATTTTTGAAAGATAATCAATAAAAACGTTTTTTCTATGAGGGCTACGTGAGGATTAAGATACTTCTGAGACAATGAACTGTGATAATCTCACAATGCTGGGAATATAAATTGAATCTGAGAAAGAATCAAAGTCAGATAATAGGAAAAGAAACATTCTGATTTAGATCTTCTAAAGATCGTTCTGAGGGTAAGCAAGCAAAATGTAATTCATAAAGTAGACTCCTCATTCCTTCCTGTTTGACTGATTTACATGAGAATAGATTGTCTAACATGTTTCTCTGGCTTTAATCATTTCTGTACATCAATTCAACACGAGTCCTTTTATCCAAGCTGTGTTCTCATCCTCACATTTTACAATTAAATAAGTGAAATCATTCCAACTTTTGCTCTGAAAACATGTTTTGACCTGAAACTCATTTTTGATCTGTTATTCATATTGTGTGCAAATGAATGAAAGTAGACTATTATTAAAACTAACTGAATGTGTTCTGTTAGTTGTTTTTTTTGGTCTTTTTAAAGTAATATACAACAGTAAAACAGTTTATTGCTCAAGGCCCAAGAGTTGATATTACAAATAATGGGCAATGCAGAAATAACTGCTTATTGTATTTTGTCAATTTTAGAGTTGTATCACAGGATTCAAATTCAAATGAAAATTATGTTTATTATTAATTCAATTTTCAATATTTTTAATAATTATTTTCATTATCGTACAAAGCATTATGGTATTTTTAAACAAATAAACACGCACGCTTCAACACTGAATGAGTACGAGCATTTTTTGATTTGTGTATTTTTAGATCCACTATTGACGCTACTGAAGATGACTTCTCGTATCACGTTCACTTCCTACAGAAGTACCTTCTCCTCTTCACAACTGCTTAAGGCTTTTGGGGGGTTTTATGTTGGGAATAGGGGAACAGTGGTAGTTGTAAATTATTTTAGTCCTTGTTGACAATAAAAAAGGGGGCAGGCTGAAGGTCAAGCTTGTTAAACTGACCCAATAGACAAGAACACAACAGAGAAACTAGAGTTCCAAACATTTCACACTAATTCCTCAGCTTTATATGTGTTGATCTCCTAATTCTGAGACATTTCTTTTATTTGCATAGTGAACTACACATTTTTAATTCCTTGTATTAAACATACCTGTTCCCCTTAATTCATACCGACTTTGTCTAATTTCAAAGAACTTCTGAATGCAGTCAGGAAGCAAATGAGTTTGTGCTTCATACATTACCCTAACCCAACTACATCGCACCATTTTAAAAGGATGACAGATAATAAATAGTGCATCATCTTTCTAAGAACACGGGGATTTCATGAATCTGACATGTAACAAATATAAGAACAAATTTAAGTTATTGTTGAATGAGGCCCAACTATGATTACTATTATGAATAGATTGTTAACACTGTCATCTGTTTGAAAGACATAAACAGAAAACACTGAGCTCTTTATTGAAATGGTGGTGATCTTTAAAAAGACAGCCGTATCCAGCCTGTTATAGGTTTTGTCTCCAACTGCAGAGGAATCGTCTCAGTCTTCAGGCTTTGAATGAAATGAAGGGATTGTTTGAGTAGCTACGCTCTACTAAATAAATCAATGACAAAAAGATATCCTTATCAATAATGATGTGTTATCATGTGTTGTTCAAATCAAACAGCCAGACCTCCCGAAGTCACGTCACAGCCGTGTGTGTGTGTGTGTGTGTGTGTGGAAGCTGATCAGAATCAATTGTGCCATCGGTCTGCCCATGGCTCGTAGCCTAATCATCAGATTCCCCATCACTCCCCTCTCCACCCTCTTCCAGTAATCAGTGTGCTTTGTCTGAAGGAGGCGGGCTCACAGCTTGAGGATGACATCACCATGGCAATACTGCTCGCTGTCAGCCCGAGGGGTGCGCTGCTCTGTGATAGGCTCACGCTGGCCTCCGCCCACCATCTCCACACAATGCGCTGTCCAATCAAACGGGCTGCTAGCGAATTAGACACACAGGTTAATTTGTGGCACAACACAGAGACACAGGAGCCGAGTACAGAATGCCTCTGGGTATATCTATACTCATCCTCTTCACACAGTTGGCAAGGGCAGTCAATAAAATGCTAGAGGGGTGTGTGTGTGTGTGTCTGGAGGGTGGTGGGATGATGAGAAAGGGAAGCTAAGGCTAGAAAGACAGGAGAAAGTTAAAACAAGGAGAAAGTGTGGGGGGGGGGGAGAAGACAAAATGGAGTGAGGAGTGGAGGAAGCAGAAAAGATGGGAAGAAAACAAAGAAGGAACTAAGTCTGGACCAATGTTTCTTTCATGCTAAAATGGCAGTTTGTTGTTAAGAACCTTAAGAGCTGCAGTTGTGTGTGATGAGAGGTATGTAAAGAGAAGTTCTGTCAGTTCGGGGGGGGCATCTTGATTTCAATTATCGGTGGCACAATTTGATGAAAGGAAAGGGGTAGGTACTATTTTGCGGCTCTATTAACATTGGGGAAAAGTAGCTTTTGAGTGCGTCCGTCTCTTTTACTGTGTGTGGGGTCGCAAAGGTCCCGCACCGTCACAAAAATTGTAATTTGTGAACCACTGGCTGAAGGCTAATGGATGAGCTGCAAATAAAGATAAAGGACACATGAATAAAGTCAGTGAGCCATTCTAGACGATAGCAAATCATTATTGAGACAGAAACGTCTGCTGGGCAAAAGATCAGCCTTCACACTCAGCTACCTGCTTTGTTACAATTTGAGTGTCTGTGGCGATCCAACTAGTGTTAACGTTCACATCGCAGCCTGTTGCTACGGTGCTCTTTAGAAACAAGCTCTCTGCACAGTCCCCCACTCTCCCAAGAACCCTGCAAGGCACCATGACTTTCTGAATTGCATTATGAAACAGAAGGTCACTTTCTGACTGAATAAAGAAAGAAATAAAGAGGAGAAGAGCTGCCATCAATTGCAAACAATTTACAGTCCTCTGCCTCTATGAGAATGATGACAGGATACTTCTTCTGTGTTCTTATTTATGAATCCAAAAGGCGCCCAAAGGCTCACCTACAGTGGAGAAGTCCAGCCCAGTCATTTCAGAACTCTGGGTTGGGACCCACCGGTGGGTTGCAGGAGATGTTAATGGGGTCTCATTTGCACAAATTCTACCGTTGAATTCCTCACATAGTATTTTAAGTAGATGCATTCCGATTTTTTTAAAGTCTGCCGATTTACTTTCTAAGAACTATAATTGAGAGCAAGGCTCCAGACTAACAGACTAACTGCCCCGCCCCTGATTGATCCCACCTGTGTCTCATCACCTACACCTCCCCAGTGGATTGAAACCTTGTGTTCCCCCGTCTCTGTGCTAGTTCGTCTTAGTCCTCCGCGTCAAGTTTAACAGTGATTTGATTCCAGATTTGTTTGCCTGTTCTGACCGAACTGCTGCTGTTGAG